GATTTCTTCCCCCCCCCACTGAATAGAACAGCAGAGCAGGAAGCCACTGGATACACTCCAGCAAAGTTGATGTTTGGTTGGAAACTTCAGCTGCCAGTGGATCTGTTAACAGGACGCCCATATTACGAAGAGTTGCCTGAAAACGTGTCAGAGTTCATGAAAGTGTTGTCAGAAAGGTAATATTCACCATCAAGTGCATTCAAACTTGAAAACATCTGCTGATTCAATGAAGCTATGTTTTGATAAGAAGTCTACTGAAGTCAGCTTTGTACCAGGAGACAAGGTGTGGTTGTATAACCCCAGGAAGACAAAAGGGAAGTCTCCTAAGTTGTCTTCTCCATGGGAAGGCCCATATGACATTGTGGATCATCTCTCAGACATGACTTTCCGAATAAAATGTGGTCAGTGAGGTAAGCCAAAGGTGGTGCATGCCAACAGGCTTTGGCATTATCACGATCCAGGACATTTCAGTTGGGACAAAGTGAACAACTGAACAAAAGACGCCACTGAAGACGTGTCACCTGGAAAGGCCATTGTCAAAGAAGAAACTCTACTTGGTTTTGAGAAGGGAAAAAGTGAAGCCCTTCATGAAGTTACTACCACTGATATGACTATTACCGATAATAGGACATTTCCTGATGGAGCAGATGAACTTTATGTGAAGCAGAAGCCAACGAAGTGAACAACTGAACAAAAGATGCCACTGAAGACATGTCACCTAGAAAGGCCACTGTCAAAGAAGAAACTCTACTTGGTTTTGAGAAGGGAAACAGTGAAGCCCTTCATGAAGTTACTACCACTGATATGACTATTACTGATAATAGGACATTTCCTGATGGAGCAGATGAACTTTATGTGAAGCAGAAGCCAACGAGGTGGAGACCAGTACAGAAGAAGATACGTCCCGTATAATTAAGAGACTTTGTTGAATTTTAATTTTGTGTTTGTAAATTATGTACATTTAATTAAGTTATTTTTAATTATCTGTTGGTTTAATTTAAGTGGCTATTGTTCAGAACGAACAATACTAAGGAAGGGGCAGTGTTACGACAGCAAAATTCACGTGATGCTGGTAACACGTGATGAGTTTCTAGAAGGATCGGGGAACATCACGAATAATCAAGTATTTGCTAGACGCCCTCTATTCCTGTATATAAGAGTGCCAGATAAAGCGAGACAATTAATTGGAACTGGAGTAGCAGACAGAGAGATTGAAGATATAGACAGATAGTCGAGTCAAGCCATAAGAAAAGTGTGTAAATCATTGTGAATTATAGCGTGTGTTTAAGTTAAAGTGACTGTGGAAATTAAGTGTATTGCAAAGTTGTATTAAGAAAAAAAAACTAGTTTTATTTAAGAAAGGACTTGTATTGCTGAAGTTCTTTGGAAAGAATTTTTACGGGTAATTAACCAAAGAATACAGAGGACAGATGACATCAATGGGCTAATTGGCTTCCTGATACCTTGCTTGATCTTATGTTTTTCATTCTCATACCTTGAAGTGCTTAGGCTTAATATTAAATTTTATAGAGTAACACAAAACTTCTTGTAGTAGTTTTAAAGCTAAACTGATGTTACCTTTTATTTTAAATAAATATTAAACAACTTCATTTAAAAATCATAGATACCAGTGTATTTACAGGTTATGTTATTATTAGCTCAGTATATGACAGAAAAAATAAACACAGCATACAAACATGTCATGTACATATACTACTTTTACACAATTATTTTTTTCATAAAAATTAATTTTAGATAGTTTGTACAAAAATATTTGTAAAGAATAGGCTTACTGTGCTTAAAAATGTAACCTTCTGGAACTGTGTAGGTGAGATTTTTCCATTCAACATTTACAGTTTGAGCGTCTTGCAAGTTAACCAAAATTTTGACATCAGAGGGCCTGCTCTCAACTGTTCTTGAAATTCCATGTACACGTTCCTCTTGTAAACTAGATGTTAACAGCTGCATGTTAAAAGATTCAAGTTCCCCATGAGTATTCTCACCATTATCACAACAGCCTGCTATCACAGTGTTTCTATCCTGATTATCTTGCATCACAACTTCTACAGGATGTGTATTCATTGTCAGTTTGAAATTCACCAATGTGTGCACGTCTCTTTATCTGTAATCAAGTAAAAAGTTTCATTATCATGTTTCTAAAGATCTAAACATATGGGATATATCAAATCAAATATTTCTAGTAATTAAATCAAGATCAAATATATTATATATATATATATATATATAATTGATATTTATACAGTGAAATAAAAGAAAGTGGCTACAAAAACTTCATTATCACCATTTCTCAAATACTGTTTGGCACACAAAAAATACATGTACAGTTTAACTTTGGAAACCTTGATACAACTTGATTAGTTAATAATTAATTACATGTTTACATAATAGTTTACTTGATGATGTGGTCCATGCTGTTAGTTTAAGTTCTTATAAAATTCTGAAGGTGTATATATCAGGTTATATTTGCATATATTCAAAAATTGTGGGCTGGCTTAGTAATATTTATTATGTTACTACTACTAGTGCTTAGCTTATTGCTTTAGCCTCAGTTGAGATAGCATTGCTATTTCAGGGAGGGGGTGAGAAATGATGGACAATGAACAGAAATAAATGGAAACAAGACAGGAAGTGAATAGTTTAGGTAAAGGTTGCTTTATGTGAGGGAAGAATGTCATTGTTGGCACAACTACTTCAACTCAAGATAATGAAATTAAAAACACAAACACTTACAAGTTACAGAATTAATAATAGACAACTGCACTATTCTGTTCATTTAACTTCATTTGAAGTCTGTTGATAAATAATCATTCATTTATACAAACTTGAAAACACCAAGTAGTGGATCCAATATCCTAAAGAACATTTTGGGCCTTTACGTTCAAATAAATCTGAAATTTTAAATTTCTTATTAGGAAAGCCTAATAGAAAACAGTTTTGGACACAAACATTTTCATATTTTCAAGTTCTTCATGTAAACAGGTAGTTCTACTACTGGTAGTAGCAGTACTACTACTACAGTATATTAATTTAAGGCTGATAAATATATCACTATCAACCTACACTACACATGCGCCATTCAATTTAGACTTTTTGAAACTTTGAAAGTTTTTCACACAATTTCAGTTTGTGCTATAGCCGACGGCGCATTGCAAAGACAATGTTCTTCGATAAAAAATACTATAATGAATTCAACTAAACGCATCCTAAATACAAATATAAACTTACGCACCAAAGGTAGCTACATCTTCGCGACGAAACAAAACATCTGAAACACTTAAACCTCAATATTAATTATTACACTATGTGACACGCAACTCCTACCATACATCTTGAAATAAATTACAAAAAAAAAAAACCTGTTCTAGTTATGCACTACTGGCCCTGCGTAAAAAACCTTACAAAACGACTTGTGGGAATGAAGTACGAAGTTGGTCGTCAATTGGAAACATAGAACACTATATCTGCTTTTAAACAAACGAGATGGCGACGTTTGAAGAAACTATTGTTACGTCTCCGTTAGTTTGTTAATTTCCGATATAAATTCTTTCCGAGGAACAAGTCCTTTCTAAAATAAAACTAGTTTATTCTTTCTAGATACAACTTTGCAATACACAGAATTTCCACAGTCACTTTAACTTCACTACTTTTATAAACACATGCTATAATTCACAGCGATTCACACAGTTTACTTACGGTGCCTACTGTTCGCTCGACTCATTTATCTATCTCTATATCTATCTATGCAATTATATCTTTTTTTCGCTGGCTTTATTTGCCGGGCTTATATATACTAAAAAAGAAGGCGTCTGGAACACACTAGAGTTGCCAGGAAAATTCATGCTTCTTCGAGAAACTCTAGCTGCATGCTCCCAGCTTTGCGTGACTTCTGGTGTGGGAACATTCTTATTAAAGTGAAAATGTTGTTTTGTTATTAAGCACAAAGCTACACAAAGGGCTATCTGTGCTCTGCCCACCCCGAGTATCGAAACCCAGTTTCTAGCAATATAAGTCCGCAGACATACCTCTGTGTCCCAGGGGGGCAACGAGGAGTTAACCATAACTTATAGATAAGAAGGGTTCTGATTTTCGAAAGAAAGTTTTTACTAAATTATCATCAACAGTTTTTAACACATAATGCATACTTCCAGGGAACAAATTCTTTTCTCGGTCACACGGGGCTATTTAAGTCTAAAAATAAGATAATTGGCTAAACGATTTTGCATTGATTCTGTCATAACGTAACAGAGCTTCTTGAAATTCTACTGGCTGGAGGATCTGATGAATTCATTTCACGTATCGAGAATGGTAACTTATGTAGTAATTTTGTTCTTGAACCTGAAAAAGTTACTAATTTTTTCAGAAACGTTAGGCAGTAAGACCTGATCGAGTAAAAACTTATGGAAAAAAGTATTGTTACGTCTGTGCTCGTTTGTTAATTTTTCGGTATAAATTCTTTCCGAGAAACTTTAACTTGATCACACGCTATAATTCACAACGAACGATTCACGCACTTTACTACCACGCTTAACTCAATTGTCCGTCTCTATCTCTGCCTGTCTGCAATTCAATTATTTATGCCATCACTTCTCACTGGTCTTATATATACAAAATAGAGGATGTCTAGCAGACACTCGAGCCTTCATAATCCATCACAAGACAAATCTACCTGTTTCCTGTACGAGTTTGGGGCAAAGGACCAGCAATGTCAATGGCTACTCTTTCCATTGGTGCACCAACTTGATATAACTTCATCGGAGCATGTTCCTTATGGTTGGGTCCCCTTTTAGCACAACATGTACTGCATGTCCTGCACCATTCTTTCACATCTTGCCACATACCTATCCAGTAAAATCTCTGTCCTAGGTGACTCAATGTCTTCTTAACTCCGAGATGTCCTCCTGTTAATCTATCATGGGATTGACACAGCACAACTTCCCGTAACTTTCTCGGTATAACAGTTTGTCAGGTCGTCACTTTCCCATCTCTGGAGAAGAATACCATCTTTAAGCTTCAACTGGTCCCATTGTGTCCAATAGTTCTTTGCCACAGGGCTTAAGCTAGACACCTTCTTCCAAGCAGGGCGCAAAACACTTGCTTTTAGAAAATCAATTATCGACTTCAAATCTTGGTCTTTCTTCTGTTTTGCTTTAATATGTATACCTGGTTCCACTTCACAATCATCAACTCCTTCAGTCACCTTAACTTCAGCTTGATGACACCTGGTTAGTTCAACCTCTCTTTTAACACTTACCGGAATTTGGCCTTTGTTGTTCCCAAACGTCATTTTATCAAAATCAATTACACCCTTCCTCGGTAGTAAGTAGTCCAATCCTAATATGCATAGGACTTCAATGTCAGCCAGTATACTTTGTGTCTGTCCTTCATGCCCATGAGCTCAATAGTTACCCATACTGTTCCCCAAATCCTCGCATAATGTCCTGTCACACCATAGAGCTTATGTATGACTTCTGGTACTCCTCTGTGATCTAGCATCTCGATACTCACAAGGGTTTGCTGAGATGCAGAATCTATGACGAAGATGCACTTTGGCCATCCAGATTTCCTGTCACATAGACACCATGTGTGCTTGGCATTTTACTCCTAGCTGTTGGGACTTTCACGATGGGGGTTGGTGGGCGTCCCTCAACACCAACCACTACTGGTCTCCCCAAGGCTGACCTATTGGTAGTATTCTTCTTACACTGGCTTCTCATATGTCCTCGCTCTCCACAGTTCCAACAACCTTTCTGGGTAGCAGCCTTTCCTGCCATGGCATCTTCCCTGTGTTGAAGTTGCCGGCATTGAATTCTCTTGTGCCGTGGTTTGTTACAGTGCCAGCAAAGTCCCTCAAACTTCTCTGAAAGCTGACATTTTCTGGCCTTAAATCCTGATAGCTGTACCAACCTTAGTACCTCTGTGCTGGACTTAACATAGGATTCGAATACAAGAGCTCTGGCCATCGCATCCTACATAGTAGAGGGGTGTGCTTGCTTCACTTTTATCTTCAGTTGTGGACTGTCCAGTGCATC